CCAAATACTTAACTTCATTACACAGTTGGAAAGACAAGCTGCAGTAATCAGAATCTCTATATCAACATTAGATCCAATAACTGTGTAATGTTAACGAAGTCACTCGAGGTCATGGATCCGCAGGCAATTATCACCCAACTCACTCTTTCTCCGAGTTTCTTCCCTGAGTGATGACCCCGGTGAACTCCACCTCTCTGCGGGCATCAACCTCGAACCAGTGGGTTTTGTCCTCTGGATCTGCGCACCAACCGCCGCCGTTCAGGTCATTGTCATCGTTGGAGCCCTGCAGACGAGCACAGGCCAATTATGTGAACCAAATGTTTGTTGCTGTGGGAGCAGAGCCCTGGTTTTCCTCACGACATGCTCTACCTGCATGTTGAGGCGTCCTCTCTGAACCGTGAAGCCATGGTGAGACTGAGAGGAAGCCAGCAGCTGGTCATCTTCAACCCGGTGAGACTCCAGGCCCAGAGGAGGACACTCTGAAAGGAAGCACACACACAAAGATCTGTCCCACAAATGTTCCAGAGAGACTTTAATTCCAAACACGCCTTGACTTCACTCATGGGAGCAGCACTGCAGCTGTTAACACATCTGTCAGAAAAGCATACTGTGTTTGTAACGAAGACAGATGCTGTAAAGTGTCAAGGTCAAAGGTCAAGATCAAAGTGTCAAGGTCAAAGATCAAGGTCAAGCAATAGTTTAACTAGTGGATGAACAGATTTGTGTTTTTGACAGGGTGGGTGTAAGTGTACCCACAATTTAAAACACACATCTGGCAAGAAAAGCACTAAAGTGTAAAGATTAAGACAAGTGAGCCTCTTACTTTTCGGTTCAACGTGCACTGGGATCTGCTTCAGTCTCTCCTCCTCTTCCTCCTCCCACTTCTTCTTCAGCCGCTCAGCTTCAGAGCGAAATGAGAAAACAATGTGTCAGAACATGTTTTCACAGTGACCCTGCTCTCCAGCAACCAGCCCCCACAGACCATTTCCATGTGTGCTTGTACAGCACACCTTCATTTCATACATTCCTCATGTGCTTCCTGTGTCCAGTGTGGCTCAGTTCAGTGGGTTTGAGGTGGTACCTTCACGGTCAGGAGAAGACGTTCTGGATTTCAGAGTAGTTTATGTTTGTTTTGTTTGGAGTTTCTTTATCGACTGACATCACCATGACTAAAATGTTGCATAAGGCTCACAGGCTCAGTTATCTTGTTCTCTGTAACCTGCCTCTTCATATCATCACAACAT